TGGTTTATAGATTGAATTGACACTCAACCACTGAGCCACGCCGGCTGGGCTGGGTTATATTTCTGTGTTTTATATGATGTGAAAGAGAGTTATGTATAATTCATAATAAAAAAGAGATCTCATTAAGTTGCATATAGTCTATAATTTACATTGGATTGTTCTTTTACACAGTAAAAAAAAACTAAAGGAAGGTAAAGCCAATTATGTGCTTTTAGAGTGGCCAACTTTTGGATTTTTATACTAAAAGGAGGGAAAATAGCATAGACATTCTTACTATTTTCAAAGTTAACTTAATTATGCTTTTACTTGATACAAAGATTTATAACACTTCAGATTAAACTATTCCACTCTGTGACAAGTTGTGCTGTAAATTTATCCAGGGTCCTTGCCCTATTTTCCTCTACTCTTCCATCTCCTACCCAAATTTAGCACTTTGCATTTTGCCTCCTGCCATATCATCTCTTAGGCTAAGGATGCAAAGCATCATCTTATTTTATCCGTTTAAAAGCATCAGTTTCCTTGATTAGGAGGAAAAAATTTAGTTTGTTGGTATAACTGTGGGACTGTAGGTTACAATGGCATACTGCAAGATGAGGTATATTGGTGCACCTTTCCTCCCCCTGCCCCCCCAACCCCTATACATTGCCTTTGCCTTTCTCTTTCCTAAACTCCAAGGGCCCTTCTTTTGCTTCTATAACTTGTTTCCTGGGCCCATGCAGCCCAGTTGGCTCACTTCTACTACCTCTGTAACTTTTAAAATAAACTTTATCTTATAATTTGAAAAAAAAGAAGAAATGGTGTATATTTATTCTTTATTCTTCTTAGATTAATGACTTACTATAACTGTTAGTGGAAGGCAGGTTAATTATTAGGGATAGACTCAAGGTTATTGTATCTCTGTTCTACCCAAGGGAAACAAAACGTATAAAATTATGATATAAAGAAATGCACAGCAAGTAATTCAGGATGGCTAGAGTAAGTACTTAAGGTGGAGGTTGGCAATATATTTGAGAAAGACTGAGTATGATCATTGCATACCTGGCTAAAGAATTTGGACTTTAATCTGATGGAGAAGTGGAGTATAGTAATAGATTCTAAATGAAATGGAGTCCCAATAGTTTGTAAAGTGGAAATAATAAACTTTTTTTTTTTTAATGTGAAAGGAACACATAACAGAAATAACCACTGCTAACAGTTTGGTGTGTAGCCTCATAGAGGGGACTGTCATAATCAGTTTTGCAGCATTGTGGATAGTGGAGAGGACAAGACGGGGGTGAGAACAGAAGCAGGAAGGCTATTGGAGAGGTCCAGGTGAGAAGTGGAGGACCTGTTTCTTAGCGGCAGCTGTGGGAGTAGAAAAGGAGGAAGGCTAGGATGAAAAGTTCAAGGAATATTTAGGAGAAAGATAGGATTCAATGACTACTTGGATGAGTGGGGTGAAGGACACCCCAGAAAAGAGGCCTGGATGGTAGTTGAGTTGATTTCCCAGAAGCTGGGACCAAATTGTAGGCTCACTTGAGATGACGTAAAGAGGAAAAATAGTTTACCAACTGCATAAAGCCAGAGTGGAAAGTGTATCCTTTATTGTTTTCTTCTTTTATTTTTCCAGGCTTATTTAGAAGGGGAGGATAAAAGTAATTTAATTCTGTCGTGATAGATAAGAGCTATTTTATCATGCCCCTTTCTCTTACTAATTGTTTCTTCCTTTAATTAAGGATAGCATCTTCCTTTGAGAAGTTGCTTCTGTTTTGGTGTGTATATAAGCATTAGCTCTTGTATTTCACAAAGTTCTTGTAGGAAATTTTTATTCTGAAGAATTGGGATTGGGGTGGGGTGAAGGAGGCACTTGGGCAAGTTACTGGCAGAGGTTCCTTGACCCTTGAAGTAAGGGCTGATTGGGCCTCTGAGAACGATCTTGGTTTCACAAGGTTCTGCTGTGTTTCTCACCATTGGGAATAGGGCTATAGAATTCACTTTGTGAAAACCCTGTTCTGTGTTATCTTCACAATATTGCTGTCTGTATTGGCATAGACTGAGTTCTGGGACACAGTGAAGGATCTTCAGTTTCCAGGTAACTAAAGGATGATTGGTTAATGGCTGGGGGTTGTAGAACTAAGACATTCATTCCTGGGTGAGGAAGACTTAAGTCACTAACACTAACCTCTCTTGCTTTCAAATAGGATTAAACGTGAACTTCCATATAGATAAAAAATTCTGTATTTTTAAATATTCCCATTGAAGGGAATTTTATACTCTTTGGTTGTTCTTTGCATTGAATATACCAACCAAATCCTCACTGTTGGGACATTTTTTATTCTAACTAAAATGCCTTGTGCCTCTATTTCATGGCACTTGTTTGGTTTTATGTTATATCCTTTCATGGACCTCTTAAAGAATTGCCTGAACATACGTGTGCTATCATAGTAATATATTTCTTTTGAGTTTGAGAAGATCTGGATAAGGACAGTAGTCATACCATTCAATTAATTTCCCCCCTAGAGTGACTTTCTTATTTAGACTCTATTATTATTACTATTTTTACTAACCTCTTATGGATGTAGTTACTCATCTGAGATATCCTAAATATGTGGTGAGAAAAACATATTTTGTAAAACAATCATTTGAATTTGACTTTTCTCAGGTGATATTGCACATGCTAAAAAAATATATAGTGTGCTTATTTATAATTGTTTGGTTTCTTACATATAGATAAGTGCCTGGTTTGTGCGATTTTAATTCTATAGACTAGATGATATAGTGACTAAAAGTGTGGCTCTAGAAGTAGACAGTTTGTGTTTGTATTGCAGGTCTGCCACCTCTGGCTATGTGCATTTAGCCAAGTTTCTTTTTTTTAAAAATATGTTTTTATTGATTTTAGAGAGAGAGAGGAAGGGAAAGGAAAAGAGAGATGGAAACATTGATGAGAGAGAAACATTGATTGGCTGCCTCCTGCATGTCCCTACTGGGGATTGAGCCTGCAACCTTGGTTTGTGGATTGATGCTCAACCACTAACCACACTGGCTGGGCTATTTCTTTTTTATTTATTAAAAAAATTTATATATATTTTTATTGATTTCAGAGAGGAAGGGAGAGGGAGAGAGAGATAGAAACATCAATGATGAGAGAGAATCATTGACCGGCTGCCTCCTGCATGCCCCACACTGGGGATCAAGCCTGCAACCCAGGCATGTGCCCTGACTGGGAATCGAACCATGACCTCTTAGTTCATAGGTTGATGCTCAACCACTGAGCCAGTCAACCAGGCTTGGATCCAAAGTTTCTTAAGCTTCCTGTGCCTTAGTTTCTTCATTTGTAAAATGAGGATAATAATAGTACCTATCTCAGAGTTATAAATGATTTGATACCTGTAGAGCTGTTAAAACTGTCTGGCACATCATACATCCTATATAAGCCTTTGCTGCCATTATTAATTTATTGGGTGGGATCTTATGTCTTTGGTTTTTAGAAATATATGCAATATACAAATAGTTATTGTGTCTCAGATCTTAGCTTAGAATGTCACAAGCATTGCCTTAGAGGAGGGTAACCTATAAAGTTGTTTTGGGAATTAAGAGAAGGTACATTTGAGATAGATAGTGCTGGGCAAATTGCTAAATTAGTAATATGATAAAACCATTCTTGGGGACTGTGACCTTCTGGTTGTCATTTAGCCCTGATGACTACTCTAGGCTCTTTTGGTAAACTGCCTTTTTGCTTTGCTTCTTGAGCTTCCTTCCCTACACAGTAACCCAAATTCCTTAGCTTGGCACTCTGTATTCCCTCTATTTCTTAGTTAACTTTCAAATTGTTAATTTAAGTCAAATGCACTGATTTAAATTTTTGCAAAATATAACATTCTGTGATTTTTAATACCTTTTTTTATTTGCTATTCAGTATAAATCTGAGAGATGATGAAGTTCTCATTGAACAACTTCTGGTTGTAATGAGAGGTTAAGAGACGTGCCTGATGTCACACAGCTATTAGGTGATTTAGCTGGAACTTGAACTCAAGCCACCTGACTTCGGGGCCAATGTTTAATAATAGTATATTTATTTCTTGAGATACCATCATGTGTTAAGATAATGCTTTGTTCCTTCTTTCCTAATTTGATGATATTTTCAAGGATTTCTAAATATTACATAAAGATTATCTGCCCCTCTTAAATTTAAGAGCTACTAAAAATGATCTGATTTCTTTTCTTATATACCAGCTGTATTTTGTAATCTTTTATTTCTGTCATCAGAAAACAAAGAGATGAAATCAGAAATCTAAATATTTCACCTGGTTAAATCCTTCATTTTTTACATGAATGTATTCTGAAAAGCTTTTCAAGTTTCTTACTTATATTTATTTTATAATATTGGGACAAGGTAGATTTTCCCCATACTGCTCAGCATATGTAGTATACCTTGCTCATTTCAACAGTATTGTCAGACTTAAATTAAATCTTGGCATTAGACTGTCTTTACAGTTCTACTTTTCCCTTTTCCCCTCTGCTTTTGTCCATTTCCAGGTCTTTTTCTAATTGTTTTTCTCTTATATTCCCAACACACTCTGGTCCTAAGAAAGAATGTACCTTGAGTTGTAGGTAACTTTCATTTTGTGAAGTATATTTTTCCATTTAATTTCTTTTATATTTCTCATATATGTATCCCCTCCTTCATATACTTTTAAAAATTAAATTGTTACTTTCAGCATATATGAATTTATACATAGTTGGTCTGTTAGCATTTCTCATAGTGTAAATCACTTCTGTTGGTGAGAATATAAATTAGTTAAGGCTCAACTCTCCCCCTCCCCCATATAATTAGCTGCATAATATATAATGAAGTCTGAAAATTATCAACATATTGTTGATTTGCTCATTGTCAAAGCTAAAATCTGATTTCCTTGGCAGATATGTAGACTTGTGATAGTCATTTGGCATTTTATGTTTTGGGCAGTGTAACTTTAAATCTACATAAACTTCTCTGCCTTTTGCCTCTGCTGTGTTCATAGATTCCAGGAGGGCTTCGTGTATGGACCTCAAGCGTTGGAGGTTGCAGACTTTTCAGCAGAAGGTAAAGCAGAGTGTTTGCCTTCTGGTGTCATTGTGTGTGTGTGCTGGGGTGGGTATGTGACAGGTGAACTTTTCACAAATGTCATCATAAAATAATTTAGAATGATTCATTAGGTAATTCACTTTCACAAAAATTAAAACCAAGTTAATACTTGTATAATTTTATTCTGTATTACTAAATTCTATTAAAGAAAGGAAAACTTCCTCTCTGCTGTTAACTAAAGAGTAAGAGTGATTAAAAAAAGATAATGTTAGTGTAATTTGTAGCAAATACTATCTAACTTTCTCAGACCTAACTTCACTATGATTTCTTCCTGGGAAGTTGTCCAAGTTATTATTCATATGTTGTATTCTTCCCTGCTGCTCCTTTTGCTGAAAGATTGCTTCACAATATATAGAAAGGCAGCCTAGCATATGACTCATTACTGGAGGATAGACATTCTTGCTATAGGTCCCATGTGCCAAAAATGTTAGTTTCCAATATGCTAATTACCTCTCTCTTTAGAACTTGTTAATACGCTCTTTCTCAAGTTAGTTCTTGTTTCAGTAGAGAAACAAACACATCCCACATGCTTGTAAAATATGTTTTTATAGAAACCTTCTTAATGAGTTACTTTTTAAGAAAATAATGTGACATAATGCTTCTTTGGGTAATGTTTCTTTGATTTTTTTAAAAAAAGAAATATTTTCCCATTTATGTGCCAAATAATATAGATACCGCTTTCTGTGAATTTATGAAACCATTTATGAACTTCTTTCAGGTGATACCTGAATAGTTTTTTTTTTTTTTAAAGATCTATAGTAGTTAACAAAGTTGTAATCTTAGACATAAAGTTAATAATATGGCTAGTTGTTAGATTCTTAATGGGAATTAAAGGAATGTTTTCTTATTTTTTCTGGAAATTATTTCTGTTTTGATATCAAGTAAATGGCTGTACATTATACCTTATATTCAAGATGTGCACCTTATGTGAAGTTAGGATAGTACATATTTATTAAATTTATACTATGTGCCCCAAGCAGGACCACTCCATTTTATTATCAACCCTGTTTCACTATTTCTTTTCCTTTCCTCCTATTAAGAGAAGCTACTTTTTAAATTAGAGGGAATAGATGATTTTTAGGTATTTATTGAGGTTAGCTACAATTTTACCTCTTAAGCCGTTTCTCCTTTCTATTACTTTTTTCAGTAGCCATTTCGAGGATATCTACCAATAATAGATTGAAAGTAATTTCTTGGAAGGCCTTTTTATATTTCACTTTCAGGCTAGTTGGTTGTTTTCACCACTGTTGAATTATTCAGTGTTATATTTGTTTAGCTAATATAGTGTGGTGTATTTTGTTGCCAATTGAGAATCTCAATTGATAATTCTAATCAATAGTATAAAGATATGTAAATTACTGCCCATATTAAGTCATAGGAAGACTGCTCTCCAGGTCCTCATCTCCCCACTTCTATGAGAAAGATTGATGAAATGAATGGTTTAAAAGTATAAAAAACAGCCCTAACTGGTTTGGCTCAGTGGATAGAGTGTCGGCCTGTGGACTAAAACGTCCCAGGTTCGATTCCGGTCAAGGGCATGTACCTTGGTTGCGGGCACATCCCCAGTAGGAGGTGTGCAGGAGGCGGCTGATCAATGTTTCTCTCTCATCGATGTTTCTGACTCTCTGTCCCTCTCTCTTCCTCTCTGTAAAAAATCAATAAAATATATTAAAAAAAAATAAAAGTATAAAAAACATATAATGGACTTTATTTTTTAGAGCAGTTTTAGGTTTGAGTGGAAGTACAGAGTCCTTGCCCCTCCCCCATCTCTCTATGATTAATATCTTGCTTTAGTGTGGCACATTTGCTACAATTGATGAGCTAATATTGTTACATTATTAATTAACTAAGATCCATAGTTTACCTTAAGGTTCACTCTTAGTGTTGCGTATTTTGTGGGTTTGACAAATGTATGTACCCATCATAACAACAACATACAGAATAGCTTTTTTTTAAAAAAATTTTTTTTATTAATTTCAGAGAGGAAGGGAGAGGGAGAGAGAAGAGAGAGATAGAAACATCAATGATGAGAGTCACTGATCAGCTGCCTCCTGCATGCCGCCTACTGGGGATCGAGCCTGCAACCAGGGCATGTGCCCTTTACCAGAATCAAACCCAGGACTCTTCAGTCCCCAGGCCAATGCTCTATCCACTGAGCCAATTCGGCTAGGGCCTTACAGAATAGCTTTATTGCCCTAAACATACACTGTGCTCCACCCATTGATCCCAGGCTCCCTCCTGACAACCACTAATCTCTCTCTGTCTCTATAGTTTTTTTACAGCTTTTCCACAATGTCATAGTTGTAATCATGTAGCCTTTTCAGATTAGCTTCTTTCATCTACACTAATAAAAGACAAAGATGCTAATTGACCGTACCTTTGCTACGCCCAAGCCATGCCCACCAGCCAATCAGAGTGACTATATGCAAATTAACCCAACCAAGATGGCGGCCAGCAGCCATGGAGCTGGAGCAAGCAGGAGGCTTGG